ATGATCTTACCGAATTTTTTAGAAGCCATCTGTCTCAACTAAGTGTTCTTTGGGTTTCGTCTTTGCGGTAAACGCGTGTCTTCCAGGGGTTTGAATTCAATCAGATTTAGTCGTTTTCAATACACCAATCTCCACTTCATTAAATTTCTTACTAATTCAAAAACCTCCCCTTCAGACATACTTTTATTCAAATACAAATAAGTTTATTCCTACACTCAGTCAACGTATTCCTGAGAAATATTTACCCAGCATGTGTCACCGGTAGTGTCATCTGCATAGCAATAAAAGTGGCAAATATGCAAAAGTTCTTTAGATACAGAAGAAACAGTTTAGGGGGCAGGACGCAGCCTTGTGGGACACCCACATTCACGAGTTTATCAACATTCAAGGACCGTCAACAACGACCTTGATGCTCCGAGGAGTAAGAACACTAGCGATTTAGTACGCATATTTTCTCAGTAAGTCCGCACTAGTGATGTTGGAAAGAAGCGCTTTGTGCCAAACCCGATCGCGAAGGCTTCTGCTGCGTCCAGTTGCGGATTCTTCGAAACTATTGGTGGCATGTTCGATTTTAATGCCGTTACCATATAGTACTAGATAAATACTTTTAAAAATACCTTACAAAAGATCCGGTTTGATCCGGCCCCTTCAGCATCAGCTAACGCCGATGCGAGGCTACCACTGATTTTGCCATTGTTGAGGCGTTCGAATCAACCAAAACTGTGCACGTACTAAGAGCTGGTATTTCTAGCCCCGAGATAGCCCGTCGACTTGGGACACATGAATAAAACACAAACATAAGAGAAATTATATATATTTCAATATATTTTCTTCACAACGTATGTATTTATCGCACGGCACCAACTACGTAAGTAACGTACAGACACGTCGCCCGTTGTTATATAACACGCTAAATCACAATTGTTATCAAACTCACACACAGGAATACAATTAAACGTGTCTATAAATAAATAAATATTACTACATATATCCTTTATACAAAATAAGCGTACGAGAAAAACTACCGCGTCGGTCACATATGGTGCATATAAAAGCGTTATCATTAATTCCAATAACAATCAATTATTGCAAAGTTCAGTGTGATGTCAATCAAATAGCTTTGTGTGTTCAAAAGCAGTTAAAACATAGTATATATTTTCTCTTATAATCGTTAACTGTGTATTGAAAAAAGAAACAAAGTGTTAATTTAGAAACATATACTACTGACAATTGGGTCAGTAGTACATGTTTCTGAAATATATTTATAAAAACTAATAACTTTTGCTGAAATATTCATCTCATGCCAATGGATGGAAGAAATTAAAATGCACCATAACGACGACGCGATATTCAACTAGGGACATCAAATTTGAAAGAGCGATACGATTATTTTACGATTAATATAGAAGTAATGTATCGTTGGCTGAAAGACGAAGCCAAAAAAAAAGGAGACAGTGTCGTCACGACTCATACTTAACAAATCTCTAACGCTGTCAGCACAACGTGATTCTTTTACGTATCTCCAATGCGAAAATGCCAGTGAACGCAAATGAACATGGAAACATTATTGTCGCTCCAAAATGACATAACGAAAAACTATACCGTGACGGCGCGGGCTTATAAACCGTACCGTGAGGTTGTTTCAGATGTACTTAGTTGTACTAAAAAATAAGTTCATTTTGTTTGACGGCGCGTGAATAACTGTCAGTGAGAGCTGTGGTGCTTGTAATGTATTATACATATAAACCTTCCCCTTTAATCACTCTATGTAGTAAAAAAAAAAACTGGTCGTTTTGAAGATCTAAGCATACATAGGGACAGACAGACAGCGGGACGACTTTGTTTTATACTATGTAGTGATCAGTTGTGTGCGGCTTCCATGTTTCACTAGCGTTCACTGGGGAATGCACATAAATTTCGAAGACGTCTTAAAAATACACCAATAGCCTCAACTAATAAGTTTCGCGAGTTTAAGTGATAATACAGTCGTAATTATATTCGAACTTTACTAGCTATTTACGTTACACACAATATTTTTAATGTCATTTTCTTACGTAAGGTAATTTATATATATTTTTTTAAATAACACTAACGTGTATACTCGATAAATATTGTGATTTTTGTTTGCACAATTACCGTATCCGATTCTAGTTAATCTGTCATACGAATATTATCATACAACCACGACCCGTCACTGTTACAAACCGCTATAGCTCTTTTATAAAATATATATTCTCCTCTAGTTTAATAAGGATAGTTTCGAGTATAATAGTATAGACAAAAATAACATTCGGTCCTATCACATACCACTTCGCTGTGAAAATAAGATCTCGTTTTCTAAACTAACTATCGTTATGCGAATAAACATAGTTAAAGCAAGACATAGGGGAAATATGGGAAATAGGTAGAGCTCTAATAAGTCTACTAGGACTAGGAATTCCGAAACTATACCCCCACCCCCCACCCCCCCCTTTCCAGTTAATATGGCAACACGTTACAAGGGAAGTTGCCATTGTATAACCTTTATATACTATACTAAACTAACACGTATTGTATCACTCCATTTGAGTGATAAAGTTGCCAAGGTATTGGCTTCGGCGTCGGGGGTAGTGGGCTCGATTCCCACACGGGACAACTTGTTTCGGATCTGGGTGTTTGTCCGCGTAAAATTATATATGTGAAACTTCCTAACAACACCGGATAATGTTATCCTAAACTAAGGGCATTGTTTTTAAAAAAAATAAAGAAACAGTCAAATCGCTTCCACTGTCACTTCTGACAGGGTAATGATGAATTTTTATCTTGAAGCAGTTTCCAAGTTAGTAACACAAACATTCCCCTTCACATCAAAAACCAATGAATGGTTGTAGGCAGTATTACACAAATAGTGCATCAATAATCTCATATTAGCCACCATACACGTATAAGCGAGCTGAATAAAGGTACATATTAAAATACATCTTTCTTTAATCCACTAAACATTACAACGACGGGTAAATGAATCCATTGACGCATCAAGATTACAATTTCAAAATTACCTACTAATTACAATTTCGCGATTACATACATGCCGCTATGTGCATGTCTAGATTTTCGCACAAACCGCGTCCGACACTTACATACTAGTAGCTTCCTCGCGCACACATTAAATGCACCAAATAGACAATGTTAATAGTTAAAATTTTCCTAAAACGACAAACTAAATTAATCAACTTTGTTCGATTTGAGATCAGGCCATTGTTTGTTTTCAGGGTGAGTTGTACCGTTTCGCTTTCGTAGCTTTAGTAGACTGGAAAGATTTTAATACTGATATGAGTGGCACGAATTCCAAGGTGATTTAGATTTTATGCAATATAAATAAATATACAGAATGCGTTAATATATCCGATACATTCTACATTAGTCTATGGTCTAAGGTATACAGTTAGAGGGCTGTTATGTTCTGACTATGTGAGAAAACGGATTAGGTTTTTAAACCTTACTTACCAATATTATTTGCGTCTATTTGCTTTCTGATTTTTATAATCATATAACGAGAATTATCTCGTTATATGATTATAAAAATACTATTAAGTAAAATATAGATTGATTATAAATCCTATGAGATAATTTTCGGGGAGAAACTCGAATTCGCAAAATTTTGTATACTTAAGATCTAGGATGAGAAAACATCATATGCGTGTTATTACAACAGCAAACGTTCACTTCAGTCTTTATGTGAAGCGACATCATTCGTTCATTCGCTCAATGATTTCATACGATATCGTTCACTCGCGGAATATCACGTCAAGTCAACGTGAATGAATTGCAAACTGTTTTCAACTGTGTTACTATGTTACTTTTCTAATCTGACTGATTATTCCTTGATATCATATGGTTTATGGAAATACCTACATACGTTATTATGCAAGACTCATTTTTAGGACAAGTTTTAGGTCAAATATGAGAAGCTTTAAAAACGCCATTCATTCAAGACATTGCCCAAGCACATTATATTAGCACAGAACTATGTCAAACGAATTATACGCACGTAGAGCGGTAGAGAACATAATTAACTTTTAATACAACGGATATTGAACTAGCGGGAATATTACATCACGACGAGTAACTTTATAAAAAGAAAAAAACTAATAAAAGACGACGAAACAAAAGATAAAAATGAGCGATTTTTCAATTTTTTTTAGAACATTAAAGCAAGTACTCGCAAATAGGCCGTTGATGATAGCTGAATATACTAAATCATAATATGAGCGATGGTTAAATATTTATAAACAATATAAAATACAAATATACATTACCTATACAAGTTGTAGTTTGCTTTCATTTCATAGACGATCACTAGATCACTAGTTTTTTTTATAGTGAACAGTTTAAAGGCATGATTTAAGCAAACTCATCACAATGACGGTATATTCCTTTTCTCCTATTAAGACTTTTCTAACAAGCTACGCGTTACATTAAGTTATTTATTGCATATTAAAATATTCAATTTCGATTATTACATTCAACTATTAATAGCTTGGTATATGGTAGCTTGATTTATTGGTAGATGTTACGTGATGGTATTTTTGCATATACATATATCTCTTTCTTTCTCTATCTATCTAGAGAGAGGGAGATCTTTTTTATATTACAATAAACAGGTTTTGATTTTACACATTGTTCGAGTTCTCCGAACAGCTCGGAGAAACTTAATGACTTAGATTAACTCACAGTTATTATTAATACATACTTTCACATAGAAATATTAATTATAAACGCCTCCTCAGAAAAATAAAGCTTCATTACATTCACTATATACTAGAGCGTCGAGCTTTCATGCAAAAATATATTTTGCGTGGCGTTAACATAGCTGACTGTTTATAATCTGTTAACAATTCACTTAATCTAAGCTGACAGAACTGCTCTACCAGACGCAGTGTGACGCATCTTCCGTCTCTATCGGAAGCCGCTCCGCTTATTCCGTATAGCGCTGTCCCTTTCTATCGTCCGCAGACCTAAAGCGGCGTCTCCTTCCGCCACTGGAAGGCGTTGGTTTTGACCGCGGGGTTGGCGGAACTGGCACTGGCCGCTAGCGCCACGCCGGTCCGACGAATATTCGCAGCGGCGTTGTCTATCAGGGGAAGAAAGAAAGGAAAATTTAATATAAATTTTTAGCTTTTATTATAGTGCTAATCTCTGCACTTATGATTAAACATTAAAATTTGTAGCACGAAAGTACGAAAAGATTGTCGCCTATCTTTTCCAGCATACAAACGATGCGGAAGCATTGCTTCAAATGATAAGAACAATGTAGATAAAAGACGTAAAGATTTTCGTCGGTGTGGCAATCAGCCGTTTAGCTTAGTGGCTAAATCGTCAGGCCGCGAATGCCGAAGACGTGGGTTCGATTCCCACAGCGGCGACAATCTTTTCGTACCTTTTCTACAAATTTTAAAATTTAATATAAACAATCACAGCGTAGTTAAGTAAAGTAACAGCCTATACATATCCCACTGCAGGGCAAAAGGCCTCCTCTTTTACATAGAGTATTTTCGACTGTACCTTAACGAATTCGATTAAAGTAACGGTCTACATATGTCCCACGGCTGGGCGAAGGGTTCTGTACAGAGGGTTCTGGCTGTACCTTATAGAGTTCGATCGACCACACATCACATTAGGATCGCAATCGCGATCACCAGACCAAGAGAGGAAGAAAAGTAGAGAACACTCACCGAGTCCATTCCTAACGTTGGCAACGAGTCTCATCGCTGGGTTCGTCACGATGCCGTTTCTCTTGTTCTTGCTGCAACAAAACGGAGCGAATTCTCAAACTCCACGTGCATATATATACATGAATCCCCCGTCTCTCTTCATTCAACAATATAATAAAGAAACAAAAGTCCTTATTGCTGCCGCACGTACTTTGAAAAGTTTCTTAAAGACAGTTTGATATAAATAGAGGGAAATTAAGCGAAACATGCATTAGTTTTAATAATATATTTACTGTAGGTACATTCAAATTCTTCATGTACACATACAAGTTTAACATGTTCTTTATGCATTCATATTTGAAGTATATTATTTCCACCACCTCACATTACACGAAATTGACATGTCATACAGAGAATATGGTTTTTAACGTATCTACATCAAAGGCCCACCGTGTTGTTGCGCTCTTGGATTTCTTTTAATGAATTACAGTTCCCAAGCTGCTAACCGCCAATCTTCCTATTGTAAATTGGGATGTTTCTTTAATAAAAAACTCATCCATAGAAGGGGGGTTCTTTTGCGAGGATTACATGTTAATCAAATAAACTGTAATGGTTAGAGGCGGTCCATAAACTACGGACTTTTCAAACTTACGACATGAACTTTTTGCATTATTTACGAAAGCCATCGTGCACAATTAAACTACCACATTCCGCATGCAACTTTGTGAAACCAGAAGAACTTAATTAGAAAGAAACAAGGCAAAGATTGCTTAGAATAAACGTGGGATTGATATATCTGAGAACTGAATTGTGATTTATTTATTTATGATGAATGGCACAGAGAATTTAAACCCAATGCATGGAAATTACCCAGAAAATCCGCCAAATATTGTTTCGTGTGTCTACTAACGTTTATTCGGTCTCTATCTCTCAGCTTCGATGAAGTGGGCTGTTCTGAAAGGTGTCCAATGTGATCTGGCGTATATGCAAGCAATTTCCATAAAAATTACATGCCCAACAACACTGAGGCAAATTCAAATATCTTTATTCGAATTCAATGTATTGACATGGGATAGTTAATTGTAACAGCCAATGAAAATGCACGCTTATTGTGAAATGAGTTGGGTGCATTTTCATCGATCGGTACACCGTGTACCGATCGATGAAAATGACAACTAACTGTGCAAATGTGCTGATGCCGAAAAAATATCGATATGTTTAGCCGATATACCTATTTTGATCCGATATATCGATATAAAATATTCAATATCGATATTGTATCAATAACAATATTTTTTTCTATTTTTTCCGAGTTCGAATCCGGGACAGAGACCGTATACTCCAAAATTTAATAATGGGTATTCGTTTTTTTCGGACAACAAGGCCTAAAAAGAAGATATCGATATATCGATATTTTGTTTTCGACATATCGAGGCCGATATTGATAATTTTATAGATATCGACATAACGGGGCCGATATTGATATCGGATTATAAATATCGACATATCGATATATTTCTTAACTTTCAGCATCCCTAAGCACGATGTGCCGAAGTTTCGAAAAACGTACCTCACCACGAACGCGTGCACTGAATCAACCAATGAAAAACGCATGCAGGCAATGAGATACATATCGACTGCGATATCGACCAATGGAAACGCGCTATAAAATGACGTGATGACGGATGACTGGAAAATTAGCGATAATGCGCAGACGCCTGTGACGCCTCCAGAGGATCCCTTGCGTCACTGTGATATTGTAGCTTGCCTACCATTGAAACTATTTAGGGTAAAAATCGCCCACTATTTGCACTGACCGTGTAGACTAAAGGTGACTAAAGAATTTATAAAATTGGAGGGTTTAAGAAGTTATTATTTCATTATTTTTTTAAATTATCAGACGCTATGTAAGCAAAAGTAGCGATATATCACCCATTTTTATTTTCTATTTATTTTATACCACTCATACCAAGATTTTCATTGAGCCTAGTAAGTAACATAAAAACAACACAAAGAACAAGACAAACACGCGCACAAAATAAGATTAGTATCGCAACACAGATTAATAATACTTTCTTTTCTGGTTTTCTTACACAATTATCGCTTGTTATCAACTGTGTAATGTAAAAGAAAGACAAAACTTTAATCAGGCATTATTCCGCCTGCGGGTTCACAACAAATCCTAATTTAGTGATAAGTTCCCACAGTTAGTACAGCGGCAAATATCTAGCTTGAGCGTATCGTCTTGGATTCAAATCAAGATCAACCGAGCTTCTTACACCTTCGCACGATCCCTTCAGATCTGACCACGTGCATTCGCTTACAAACCCAACCTACATTTGGAACGAAGTTGACATTAAACAACCGTGTGTTTGTGTACGCACCTAAAAAAATATAATTGTTTAGTATAAAAAAAGAAAAATAAGTACAAATTTCATCCCGTGTGCCAGTACTGCTTGCGCGATTATATATTATTCAATTAATCTACGCGGTTACACATTACTCAATAAACCAAACGCGCTAAAACAAATATAATGTTACGAGAGCTAGCAACGTCAGAAAAACAAGAATTTCAGGTAGGCCAGTTCTTAGATATGCTATCTCTCTCACTCTCCCGAACGTCATACTGGCTATGGCGGTAGAGGTTCTCTTTCGAAAACGTTGCTAGGTCTTAGACTATAGCTTTGGCAAAGAAACCCGATGTCCGGAAACAGTAGCAATCAACGAACCCACAATATCACAGTGACCGTCTCCTAGAAGATGAGGGTAGACTCACGTTTTCTTAAAAATTCTCCCCCTCGCTCTGCCGAGACTGCCCACTATCCTGTTGTACGTGTTCCGACCGGTCCACGCCGACACCTCGCTATTTGCACACATATTGCCACTTAGCCGCTCAACAAACGTCTAACAGTTAAACTTAGGGATGTAAGGAGAATATCGATATATCGATACAAAATATTCAATATCGAAAATATTATCAAAAACTATATTTTTTCAAATTCAAATCCGGCACAGATGAGCCATATATTTAATAATTGACATATTTTTTTTCATTGACCTTAATGGTAAATATCGATATATCGATCCGGTAAATAAATATCGATATATTTCTTCACTTTCCACATCCCTAAGCTAAACATGTATTATGACTACATATTAATTAATATTCTGCGTGAACTTGTGTGAAATGGGTGAATGGTATCGCTGTTTAATATTTTAGAGGAACCTGGAATATTTTTTACGAACATATCTGGTTCATTTGAAAAAATTTAGAATTGTAAAATTACAATACGACAAATAAACAAAAAAAAAAAACAAAAGTGGCGAAAAGTGTCCATGTTATAATTTTGTACGTTTTTTCATAGTTGTTTTGGAATTAAAATAGTTGAAGATGTTACATTACAATTCATACAGAATATATTTAATTAAACAAGCTTTATACAGACAGAAGCGAACATATTTTCATTATAATATACATTCTTTGACATACAACCATGCCTACATGTACATGCCAGTTCACTGAAAATAAGCGCAACACTTCTACATATGTTTTCTTTATTTTACCAAACAATTTGTTGTTAAAAATTATCTATTCTAACATTTTTTTACAAAACAATAACTTAACATACATATGTGTATAAATACATGAACACACATACATAAACAAGCCTTAAAGACAGAATGTCCGCCCACAAATAATTCTTTGGTTCGGATTATCGCTACATATGATCCTAGCATTCAATTAGCGTCATCATCAACGTCGTCACGTTTATTCCCCTCAGTGATTCCTTCGTCTTACGAATCACTGAGGAGTCTTAGTTCTTTTGAATTTTATTTTCAGTACTAATCCCTGCCCTCGAGACGAAGCTTTAAACGAAAATTTAGAAATTTTGGCGGACTTAATCATGTGGATCAAAATCATTCGGCGATGACGGATTCGAACCCACGTCTTCCTGGTAATGTGCCTAGACGGCGCAGGTTCGAAACCCGAAGCGCCGAAAGTCTTTGTCCATTCAAGTTTCTCGTTCGTGCCAAATAATAATTTAAATTGGCACTTGCACGAATGGGCAGATCCGTCCGGGTAAGTTCTAAGTATTATAGGTGGGATTCGTCTGGTTAGTGAGGTAGCCGGGTCCACTGTATTAAAAGGCGGCAACGGCCATGGGCAGCGGTTATCACTTAACATCAGGTGTACCGCCAGTTCGCTTGCCATCTTCTTAATTAAAAAAAAAAAAAAAAAAACTGTACCTGTCAGATCTGTCGTTGGAGGGCTTGCTGTCGCGGCCGAGGATGATCCGCATGTGCGTGTCCCGGTTGAAGTGCGTGTCGGTCAAGGCGGGCTGCACCGAGCTCAGGCTTGGCGGCTGAGAGCCTGCACAAGTTCGATTTTAGACTTTAACACTGTTGCATAGAGTACTAAATGCTCGAATAACCGATGGGATAGAAAGGTTCTCAAGTGGGAGCCACGTATTGATTGTATATGTCTATGTATAGTGTATGTGTAGTCGTTGTATCGTAGTGTCAATCACTAGACGGAGTGACGACCGGGTTCAAAGTTGGATTTTAAACCTTCACGCTCTGTCATAGAGGATCAATTAGGTTTATCAAATGCTACACAATGGGCCGGCAATATACCTCGAAGAACCGATAACCGATGGGGGAAGAAAGGTTCTCGAGTGACAGCCTCGTCAGCTCTCACTAGGTGGAGTGACGACCGGGTTCAAAGTTGGATTTTAAACTCTAACGCTATGTCATAGAATATTAAATCGTTTATCAAACACCGACGATATAGCCGACGATATAGTCGCAGTCTTGTGTTGGCTATCGTAGGTTAGGATGTCCACTAGATGGAGTGACGACCTGTGCATGTGTGCGGGAAGTCGATGGATGCTGGTGGCTCAGGATCGTACTTCATGGCAGTCTATGGGGGAGGCCTATGTTCAGCAGTGGACTCAAACGGACGGAAATGATGATGTGATGCTCCAATGTGTAAAGTGCATGAAATAATATAACCTGCGTCAATGTAATGAAACATGTGACATACGATGAGTTACACAAGCGCTATGGGTACCAATATTTTTTGAAATTTAACTTGGCTTTGAGAATAACTAACAATTGGTGACATTTCATTTGTGTATGGATGAGAACAGTGAGAAAGGTTTAGAACGTAACACATGAAACCTTCCCAAGATAATAGCCCGACTTCAACAAAGGAGGAGTTCTTCAATTCGGTTTTATTTTCTTTTATTTACTTTGAATCAGAACTCCACCTTTTACGAACCAATTTTTTAATTCGGTTCGGTTTATCCCCCATGTAATCCCATATTGATTTCATTAGTATTATTACCTTGGAATCAGGGAACTCTTAAAAATGTATAGTGAACGAAATATTAGAAAATATAACAATATTTTAAGGATTAACTAAAACTTAAAGGAAGTAAAACAAACTACCGAAAGCAGCCAAGGGTTGAGCTGTGGGGCTGCAAATGTCACTGACGGGGCTGCGGGGAGGTGACGCATATAGCGGGCTAGTGCTGTCCCGCTCGCACCCGCTGTAGCCGTGCCTCTCCTCGCGCCTTCTGTCTCGCTCGCGCGCATACCCGTGCAGCTCTGCGTCTCGTTCGTTGGCGATGTAGCTCCTGAAACATTTATAACATACAAATTATGGGAACTAGTTAGCGTTAATTATATTAGTTAATCATTGGAATAATTTAAATTGGAAATTCAATATCCAGAGTTCAAAGCCCAATGCCATAACCAATGAATTATTGATATTTTCAAAATAATAACAAAAAAAAATTAGAAATTCGTATGTGAAGTCCGCCAATACTTACAATACCATCTGCAGTGGGACTTGTAAAGGCTGAAACTTTACTTTTATTTAACGTTAATCGTATGAAAATACCCAGTTATAAATCTACCTCAATTTGGCGTCCTTTTCTACTGCGTGGTGTTCAGGTATAGGCTCGTCTCTCTCTTTTTCGCGGCGCCCTCTACCGCACCGCGCCACTTGCTGGGCGAACGATAGAGAGAGATTCGCTCGATTCGTCTGTAAATAAGTTTTTTTTTTTAAATTACCAACTAAATATATCCCGAACTTAGAAACAACTACAACTTAACTAAAATTAAATTTGCTTAAAGTTCAATCATACTGTGCAAAACTGCAAAGTAAATTCGTTCATACCGGGACGGTGTGTAAGCTTACATTTTGTAATAATAAATTCCATAGCAAATTAACAATGCATCGAATTATCAACCCCCAACCCTTGTCAACCCTTGTCCCGTGTGTGAAATTTAATATATTGTTGTTATAGATTATAGATGTTTGTTATTGCTGAGTTTCTTTAGCCGGTTCTTCTTAGTTCGGTGCCTTTTCCGCGAACCGATCGTAGTGTTTTTTGACAATCAATAAGTAAGTGTAACGCTTCTATATTGAATAAAGATATTTGAATTTGCATTTGGAATCGAACCCACGACCCCGCCGCAGAAGCCAATAGTATAGTACCTTTTTTTACTTATTTTTTTATTTGATATGCAAAGTTAGCAGGCGAACTGGCGGTTCACCTGAAATTACGTGATAACCGCCACTGAGATGCTTGCAGATGCTTTGCCACCTTTAAATAAAGTGGGCCCCGGTCACCTCACTCACCAGACGAAACGCAGAAGTATGTCACTTCCACTTCACGTCTTCTGGACCTGCCTGTTCGTGCAACAGCAAAGACTGTTGCGTGGCCCTGCCACAGAGTAAGACCTGTTTTTTTTTTTTGTTTTCCATCGAAAGTTGTAACCACTTTCGGCGCCAGTATATTTGAATAATTATCGCAGTTTCATATAATTTCTTAATAGAGCATTTCACGAGTATGACCTGTTTGTATGGTATCCATGTAAGGTGGTACGTACCTTATCGTGGGCCGGCGCCTCCTGCTCGGTCTGCTCGTGCGACCTCGCCGAGCCGCCGGTCAGGTTGGACGAGGACTTGGTCGAGTTCGAACTGTGGACGCTGCGGCGCTTGTACTCGGGCGAACCCGCTGCGTCGTTGAGGTAATAAATCGAAATTAATATCACAATCCGTGGACACATGCGGATAAGGATGAGTCATCTCGGGTAAAGTCGATTAAGGATTGAGCAATGATCGAACAAAGACTATTAGGAAGGAAGTACCTGAACGTACGAAATCACGCGTTTAATAATTGCTTTCGCAGTTGCTAGTCGAGTGGCTTGCAATCAAATTTATTCATCGAAATAAGATAGTCATTCTAAAGTATGGTTCGAATAAGTAGATGAGAAACGGGACAGGAGTAGGGGCCGCCAGAGTGGTGGTAATTACCTGGGCGGGGGTGGGACGGTTCGTCGAGAGTAGGTGCGGGGGCGGGTGCGTGGACGGGCGGTGCGGGGGCGGCGGGGGCTGAGGGCGCCGCCCACCGCTCCAGCAGGCGGCATATGTTGGCGTGCCCGGCGCGCCACGCCACCTTCGCCGGCGTTCGTCCTGGAACGGAGTAAAGGCTTTTACTACCGATCGAAAGGTACATGATTTGGGCGATATTGCATAAACTGAAATGGTCCAGCTTATCGTCGTGACAAACGATGAACACATCATCATCATAATTTCAGCCTGTTTACGACCACCGCTGAACATAGGCCTCCGTCATAGTTTGCCAAGAAGTACGATCCTGAGCCACCTGCATCCATCGACCTCCCGCACATTTGCACAGGTCGTCACTACATCTAGTGGGGCGTCGTCCTACACTGCGATGCCACTGCCACTCGACAAATTGTTGTTAATTATTTTTTTTTTCTTTTCTTTTTAAACATTGCCCTTACTTTAGGATAGCATTATCCTGTGCTGTAAGGACATTTTATAAACACAAATTTCACGCGGACAAACACCCAGTTGCGAAACAACTATCTGTGGGCCACACAAAAAGTTGTCCCGTGTGGGAATCGAACCCACGACCCCCGACGCCGAAGCCAATACCTTGGCAACAACGCCACGGAGTCATCTAAAATTCCCAAGGCTCTGAGACATTTGGCTTACCGCAGTGGTCGGCTTGCATTGGATCTGCACCGTGTTGCAGCAGCCACAGCACGCACTCCTCGTGGCCTTCTTGTGCCGCAATGCCTATGTAAACGAGTTTTAATATATTAAAACACAATAAATTAGACACAATCTTTTTTTTAAAGTAACGTGGCAAGCGAGCTGGCGGTTCACCATTGACATTTCAAATACGTTCCCACCTTTTAATTAAGTGGGACTCGGCTACCTCACTCACAAGACGAAATGCAGAAGTGTCACGCTTTCACTTCACGACGGTCTTCTGAGGTAGCGGTTGCCCATTCGTGCAAAAGCTGAACCTGATGCGTGGCCCTAGCACAGTTATCTCCATATCTTCATCTTCCCCTTATTCAATTTATATACCCAAAAAAGCTGACTACGTTTGATTATACCCGTGAATATGAGTAACTGTAAAAAATAATGTGAATTAAAAGTGTCTACGCTTGTGTTTCTCAAACTTTTTTGGTGTAACGCCACCTTTACGAAAAATTTATTACCCAACGCCTCCCAGAGGCGCTCTAGTCATTGAACTATCACGGCTGAAGATTCGAATTAAAAAAAAATCCATTCTGACAAAAAGGATATACAAAATTTTCATAGACTAAAGGACAAGTTCATAAAACAGCCTGCGACAACATTTGTTTCCTTACATAAGTTGTGTAAGGAAGTTTTAGGGGGGTGTTGGGCGTTAACTTGGTGGTAACTTACTTACGAATACATTAATTTTTTTGGAAAACTTTCCATAAAAACGCGCAAGCGTCTATGTGAATAAAGATATTTTGAATTAGAATTTTTGTTCTGCACTTTCAAGTCCGGAGCCACGTCCGGCTATATTTATACTTAAATACTTTTGTGTACATTCTTAAATCATTGATAAAAAAATAATAACTGTATAACCTTAGAGTTTCTTGCCGGTTCCTCTCTCGCAGGTCTAGATCTAGACGTTCAATAAGAGCTTAAAATAAGGAAGTTCGACATTGACTTTATTAATATTTTCCCAATGTTGGGTGGTGGCGGTACACGAGAACAGTCCGAGATGCACCCACCGAGGGGCGTGGCGCCCTGCGTGCACACCGCCGCGGGGGAAGCCCCGTGCCGGAGCAGCGCCCTCAGCGCCGCGCCGCGCCCGCGCCACGCCGCCGCGTGCAGCGCAGTGCGCGCGCAACGGTCGCGCCCGTCCACTCGAGCGCCGCCTGTTGGACCAACGTTGAACAATAACTGTAGATATTACGACCACGATTACTAATAACACGAGGATTTATGGCCGGTTCCTAAGCAATAATTGAACAATAACTGTAGATATTACGACCACGATTACTAATAACACGAGGATTTATGGCCGGTTCCTAAGCAGTAATTGAACAATAACTGTAGATATTACGACCACGATTACTAATAACACGAGGATTTATGGCCGGTTCCTAAGCAATAATTGACACAATAACTGTAGATATTACGACCACGATTACTAATAACACGAGGATTTATGGCCGGTTCCTAAGCAGTAATTGAACAATAACTGTAGATATTACGACCACGATTACTAATAACACGAGGATTTATGGCCGGTTCCTAAGCAATAATTGAACAATAACTGTAGATATTACGACCTCGATTACTAATAACACGAGGATTTATGGCCGGTTCCTAAGCAATAATTGAACAATAACTGTAGATATTACGACCTCGATTACTAATAACACGAGGATTTATGTTTTATGCCCGGTTCTTATAGTAACGTAGTTTTGTAACTTTCATAACGACTTGTAAATTAAAATTAAAGGAACGCTAGTAACTCACTTTCCATATGTTGTAATGCAACGGTTCGTTAGGACAACGCCTCGTTTTGTTAGTATAGGAACCGTGCGTACACGCCTTTCATCTAAAAGTCGTTACGAAAGTTACGAAGCTATGTATGTTGAATATAGAAACCGAGCATTAGAGGAGAAATATATTTGAAGTAATACTTCCTTAGGCGCGTTGTGAAAAAATGATGAGAGTGAAATTTTAAGATGCGCGCGCATCGCTCTAACACAAAAGTAACACCTTTGAAGCTGCCTCTTATTTTTTTTATAGACGGCAGAATATTCTCAATCACATTCGCCCGTTACAGTTCTCAATAAAGAATGTAGAGTAAGTTATTTTTATCCTTTTCCAGTCTTTTCATTATTTTATTGTAATTAATTATTTGCATGCAATTGAAAACTGTTTTTAATGATGCCAAAGAAGTATAACTTCTCACGCGCGTACATAAGTACACGCAAACATTTTTTTTTTATTTTAAGTAACTCTTTGAAGTATGATCCTGATAGTACTTCGTAGCAGTCTATGGGGGACATAGGCCATGTTCAGCAATGGACTCAAGCAGGCTGAAATGATAATGACGATAATGAACCCGCTGACAACAAAAAACGTGTGTATGTATTTGTGTACGTACATAAGAAGTTATTGTACGTATTTGATGACTCCGTGGCTCGGTAGTTAATAGTCCGCCAGCAACCTACAGCACGCTACAAATGCTAATAACAAACAAACTGAGCCCTCACCGACTGTTATTAGCAAATTGACCATTTCCGTGTGCCCTTGCCAAGCTGACACGTGCAAGGGAGTGCGACCCTGAAATGAGAGAAATAAAAAACATAAAGAAAACAGCTGTTAGTGTTTCCTGTTGCACATAACAAAAGTGTTACCAGTCATATAACATGATTGCGGCCAAGAGAAAAATATACCAATATTAGAATTCTCTTACAATCATCATTTACATAGCAGTCTAATGTAAAAACAATACTAATGTGAATAACTTGAAAGGTACTGATTTTTTTAAGTGAAAGGTGGGAAGACCACATACGCAAAGCGGTTCATTTAATTGTAAACGATAGGAAGGAAAATGGCCATGTGTCCACCTCACTCATCGCACGAGATTCAAAGTATTAAAAAGAGCATTTCGCGAGGACTAGTTTTTACTTAGTTCGGTATTTTATTCATATATATTCAGACTGCCGCAAGTTGGTAATGACGATGGTAATGTTAGTGATGATATCGATGTGCGAGTGCTCAGCTCTCGAAGGCCACGAAAGGGGGGGGGGGGGGGGGGGGGGGGGACACTTCAAACATCCGTAGGTTGTCGACGTGCGATTTCTCAGCCTGCGATGTTAGCCCACCTCGCTGTCGCTGCAGTGCACGCTGGCGCCGCACGCCAGCAGCTGCCTGGCCATCGCGAGCCGGTTGTCCAGCGCCAGCACGTACAGCGTGCTGCGCCGGTCGGCGTCCAGCGCGTCCACGTCCGCTCCGCGCGCGTGCAGCGCCGACACCGTCTCGAAGTGGCCCTCGAGCGCGGCCAGCCTGCGGATCAGTAAATGGTAAATGAGCTTTAGTACCGCTGGTGACGCTAATCATACCACCAGATACTAAAATTGCTTTAAGTATTTACCGTTTGGAGCTGGTCTTCAGCTCGGTGCGGTTATACAGAACGAAGAAGAAAGTGCAACGAACGAATTAAACACTGGCACAGCTTTCATAATAACCCAGAAGCGGACGGACTTGCACGCTCTACGGAACGGGTTCGCAATGGACGAAAAAAGCTCGGACGGATAAGAGAGAAAGATATTTTCTTTTTGGGACAACGTGCAATTAACTCACGAAGGAATCACGACACTCCTATGTATTAGCGGCTCACTCACCGAGTCCCATCCACGTTTCACGCTTATACAAAGAAAGAAAGAAGGAAAGAAAGAAAGAAGAAAGAAAGAAGAAAGAAAGAAAGAAGAAAGAAAGAAGGAAAGAAAGAAAGAAGAAAGAAAGAAAGAAAGAAAGAAAAAGAAAGAAAGAAGAAAGAAAGAAAGAATGAATTATTTAAAGCGTTCAGATGGCCATCAGTACCTGAGCGCGGTCTTGCCGTCGTGCGCGTGCTGGTCGACGGGCGCCGCCCACTCGTCCAGCAGCAGCTCCGCGAGGCGCGTGTGCCCCTCCTGGGCGGCGAGCATCAGCGCCCCCTTTACCGTCGTTGTCCGCCTCGTCCACCTTCGCGCCCGCCTCCAGCAGCGCCTCGCACACCTCGACGTGGCCTGGCGCAGTTACGTCACCTTCTTACACCGGTATTCGACCAGATATTTCTTATATGTTATTTTGAGAGACAATAGTTTTTTACGTGAGGTGAGAAGTGGCGGTTCACTTGATGTTTTATTTTATTTTATTTGAACAGAAAATCTTCTGCATTGAGGTAGTAATAATATTGCAACCCTAGTGGGTACATGGATAATGAAGTCATTATCCACGTATTGAATGTATTAATATTATTTTTATATAAGCTACTAGATATGTTACAATTAATCAATACAAATATATTTGCTATATATTAGAGATTAAAAAAATAAAATGTTAAGTGATAACCGCCGACCAATGGTCACATGGTTGCAGGTGCATTGCCACCTTTTAATAAAGTGTGCCAGGCAATCTCACTTACCAGACGGAATACGTAAAAACACTTCCATTTGGCGACAGTCTTCTGTGAGGCCGTGGTACTCACCAATACGGACCTGCCCATTCGTGCAACAGCGAAGACTGTTGCGTGGCCCACATATGGATAAACTGTTTTCAAGTCGTATTTGACCGCATTTCATTCATAGGTTGAGGAAGATAGTTGCACTCGAGACCCGAATATATACTAGAAAAATCTTGAAATGTAATTACTGGTACCTTCGAAAGCGGCATAGTGAAGTGGTGTCCAGCCAGAATTATCGCGATGGTGTTCGTCCAGACCACGGTCCAGTAGCTGACGGACCACTTCCACGTTACCTGTTTCAAAATACAATTGTTAAAGCGCCTGCGTCTTTCGCCCAGGCAATGTTTTCGAGTGTTAGATTGAGTTAATTTTAAGACAGGTTGTTAATCCTCCTTATGTTTTATTATTTACCCTCGTTGTCATTCGTTTTTAATACATAGTAAGAATCGTCCGAAGTTAACAATCTAGTTGCATTATTTAAAACCCTTTCCCTATTTAAAATCCTTATATGCACCAACAATAATATTTGTTTTATAAAACAGTACTTAATATATATATATATATACATTGGCACGTAAAGGATAGATGCACTTCGGCACAACGTACGCACATTTGTTTTTCGATTGTCATAAAAAAATATATCACTTTCTTTTTTTGTGTGGATAGAAAAAAATATGAAAAAATGTGAGGAACATAAAAGTCGTCATATTGCGGCGAACACTATGATAGCCACAGAACAGCAACGATTGCATCCTCCTAATGTCCTAGCTAAATATCTCTTCATAAAGACGTCGGTGCCCCGCGAATAGGCGACGTGATTGTCGACGTCAGTGCCTCGTAAGAGGGCGACCCATAATGGGGCAATTGCGTGACAAAACTGTGTTGAGCGGTAGGCGTGCAAACCTTACGGGTGCTGTGGTTTAGGTCTGCTTAACTGAATACAATTTAGCGTGCTTTCAAAAGAAATATACATAGCAAACACAGCATACATAATGAAAATCATTATAACATAAGATACAAAGGTTTATTTACTGACTACAATTAAATGATTAAAAACTATTAATTTGTTTGTATGTAAAACCAAATAAAACATGTCACTTAATAAAGTAAATTAATGAGTAAACCATTTAATACTTTCATGATAAAAGACCGAAAAAAACCTGGGACACTTTCTTTTTTGTCGAGGCCAGAGAACCTAGTGAAGGCATGTGATACAGTTCTGGCCGAGATTTGTTCTGCAATAAACGTTTCCCTATTATGAATACGTGAACCGGCACGCGGTTAATTGCACCGACGCATCACCGACGATTCACAAGAGGAGGCCTAAAAACGCCACAGTCGCGGCGGGGTCGCGGCAGATTGCGCCCACGTGCTCCCGAGTCTTCGCCCGATGTGACAGAGACAGGTGCAACGCGGGTTCTTCCCGTTTCCGACAGGGACTCCCACACACCGCTGCCCAGGCCCCGTTCGAGTGGCGGGGCGGGGCGGTGCGCGCACCTTGTGCGGCGGCGGTGCTGAGCACGGTGCGCCCCTCGGCGTCCATGTTGTCGACGCAGGCGCCCCAGAAGAGCAGCAGGCGCACGGTGCGCGCGTGGCCGGCGGACGCGGCGGCCCACAGCGCGGTGCGCCCCGCCAGGTCGCTCGCCTCGATGTCCGCCTCCGCCTCCAGGAGCAGCTCGCAGATCTCGCTGCGCGGGACGGTTCAGTTCGATTATTTTATAATCTATACCGTTACCATCCCATGTGCGGTTGTTTCAAAATAATAGATATTCGAATAAGTAAAATTATTCGAATGTATTAGTAACGGTAATGTAACTGTCGAATGCCGATTACTTATGTAAATCTACGATGCACGTTTTACAACATCTCCCACGTTACCTCAATAGAGCAGAACGCCGTAGGGCAACTTTTTTAAAAGTTGTCGACATGTCTGCCAGCCGTCAGGTGTTGCAGATGTGAACCGCCTGATCGCTTGACAGTTTTCCACATGAAAAACACACTCACGTGTGCCCCTCGAAGGCCGCGACGAGGAGGGGCGTAGCCCTGTCCCTGTCCGCTTTGTGCACGTCGGCGCCGCGCTCGATGAGCAGGGCGGCGCAGGGGGCGCCCGCCGCGCACAGCGCCGCCACGGCGAGCGCCGTCCGACCTGCGTAGAGGGCGCCACGTCAACGTTACATCATTTGATGAATCGATTGGCGTAGTGGGTACCTGCCTCTTGCGACAGAGGAAGTGAGTTCGATCCGCACTACTGAAAAAATATCGTGTGATGAACATGCTGTTTTCCAGTGTCTGGGTGTTTATATAACAGTAATTGTAGAGAAGTGGATGTAGCAATGAAAAATAGGTCGCTCGTAAATTATTTAATGACTTGCTTTTAAATATCGATGTTGCGCTTAAACCGTTTGAGTTGTAAGTGACGAGACAGAAATTGGGTGTCTCTGAGGGCCCCGATCTATACGGAAGTGGCGTTTGGTGTTGCCGTAACAGCAATATGTATTTATTTATAAAAGGTAAGTATGTTTATCAGTTATCACTAGTACAAGCTTTCCATAGTTTGGGACTAGAGAAGGTTGTGTAAAAATGTTCCCTAAATATTTATTTTTCTTTCAAGAACTTGTTAGCGGCGCCGAGGTATGTGAGCGGTGAGACGGCGGACCGCGGGCAGTTGTCAATGAGTGTCATTTCGCCGTCAAACACTGCGACGGTTTTACTTCTGGCTAATTAACTTGAGACGCACACGAGATCATGACGCCGATGGTACTAGAGGGTCGGGCATTCTCTTCAGCACTGCTTAAAATGCAAAAATAATTATAATAATAGATTTTCTTTGGTCGAAATATTATGCGGGGGTGCAAACGCGTCGCCGCACAAAGCCTAGTACAGTCGGGCGCAACGCCCGTGGGTCGGCGCACGAAGCCAAGTACAGTCGGGCGCAAAACCCGCGGGGGTGCAAACGCGTCGCCGCACAAAGCCTAGTACAGTCGGGCGCAACGCCCGTGGGTCGCCGCACAAAGCCTAGTACAGTCGGGCGCAACACCCTTGGGTCGGCGCACGAAGCCAAGTACAGTCGGGCGCAACATTCGTAAGTCGCCGCACAAAGCCAAGTACAGTCGGGCGAGACACTGTTGGGTCGGCGCACGAAGCCAAGTACAGTCGGGCGCGCACCGTCCGCGTCCGCGTGGTCCACGTCGGCGCCGGCGTCGAGCAGCGCGCGCACGATGTCCGCGTGGCCCATGTACGCGGCGGCGATGAGCGGCGTGCGCCCCTCCGCGTCGGCCAGGTCGGGCCGCGCGCCGCCCGCGAGCAGCCGCCCCACCACCGCCTCGTGGCCCGACCACGCGGCCGCCCTGCGCGAACGAGACAAAAGATAAAAGCGTTATCGAACCGGACTGGAACCAGAATATCTCGCAGATGGCTGAATTTTTTCCTACTTAGTTGACACTTATCATTACCCATACTTTGGACAATTCACACAATATCTTTATAAATTATAGCCTTTGTGTTATTCTAATGTATAAGCTATATTATTGTAGTTTCATTAAAATCTATTCAGTGGTATTTGCGTGAAATAGTAACAAACATCCATCCATACATACAAACTTTTGTGTTTATAATATTTGTAACGATTTAATAACACACAAGATGTGTATGTACGCTTGTCCGCGTGCGCACGTACGCAGAGCAGTGAAATTTTGGACATATACATAATATGTAAAGTTGTGTAGGGCACTTCAGTTACAGAGAATGAACTAGCACAGAGTTCAACAATATTCTATGTTATTTCTTCCAATTTCATAAATATACTTACTTTTTTCTGTATTGGTTGTTGTTTTGTAAATTATAATTAATTATCATTAATATAATGAAACGTGACGACCAACCCACACATTTATGCTCCACCGTCGAAAATCATCATCATCATCTGCCTTTTTTATCCACTGCTGGACGGTAGACATGCCCTAATGAACCCAAAATAAATGCATCTTGCATTCATTGGAATAATTTCTATAATTTCTAGCGTATCACTCGGACTGACTACGTATTTATGTCATCCATGAGTAGTTAGCATTTTCATGGGCAAATAATTGTCATCTTACTAAAATTATACTCTGTGCATTCATTAGCCTCAAACAGTTTCTCTTACCTCAGAGCAGTTCTATTGTCTGCGTCCACGCAGTCCACGTCGCAGCCGTGTTCGAGCAGAACTTCAACGACCTGCAAGAATATAAAAATATTTTTAAAGTTAATTTTATAGCGAGAAATTTCACACAATTAAAAAGCCCGCACACTGAGCTATCCAGGCTCCTGCCAGTACTTAATCTAGGGGTGTATTTCACTATCTCACCTCGCTGTGGCCGGCCCAGGCGGCGGCGCGCAGTGGACTCCAGCCGTCGGCGTCGGCGGCTGACGCGTCGGCGCCAGCGCGCAGTAGCAGGGCGGCGCAGCCCGCGCGCCCGCCCCGCGCAGCCGCGTGCAGCGCCGTACTGCCAGAGGCGTCCGTAGCCTGCGCGAGCTGCGGGTAGCGCTGTACACCCCGAGGGAAAGGGATGGTGAGTAACGTCGCACTAGTGAGAAAAGGACGACAGTTGGAATGCGTGGCCTCGCTGCGTGCAGAGTTGGGCTGGCCGACGCGTTTGAAGACCATCGTGTAAAAGGTTCGAAATGTTAATAACAAGCAAACCACTACCATATCATTAAAAGATAATAAATGTCATTAAGTATCTGTTTAACGATTATGAACAACAATAGTACAAACCTTCAGCAAGACGGCGAGCGTCTCCTCGTCACCACGTGTCGCCAGCTCGTGTACTGTACTAGGATCCACTAGTATCACGTCCTCCTGCTCTTCGACGCTGCCCTCAGGGATGTCTTCGCTTTCGACGGGCTGTTCTATCGTTAACTGAATCCAAAAAAAGAGCCAATAAATATCACATTTTTTATCATTTTTACAAATATATAACAAAAATATGAGCACATAAAATTAACCACAGAAATGGAGCAGAGCTGAATATAGAAACGTAAATATCGGGTGCTTTGTAAAAGAGCAATGTAATCAAAATTACCCAACGTTGTAGAAGTGTACAATTTTTCAACGTTACACAACCGATTTAAACTATAAATTGACAGGTCTCTGTGTGTAATTCAAAAGTGTGATAACATAGCTCCGAACGTATCAAACATCTTGGTCATATTGTATCAATTACAAATAAAAATTCGAATCAAACTTACAGTGGATTAATTAAAGCGTACTAAAAACGGCAGCCGCGAGTCACACAAAAACCCAGAGACAAACGAATAGAGAGAGAGAGATTAGAATATGTATATAGCTTTTATTTTAACTTAAAATTTGCTTTGAAACTTTTTACACCTGCCCCTTTTGTCTCTGCATCGCCCATAGGTTGACTGGTAGGGAATGCCTTAGGCATTAAGTCCGCCTGTACACAATACTAATTTTTTGTGTAAAAGTTTAAATAAATAAATGAATAGAGAGCGAGCGGCTCCACCCACCAGATCGTGAAGTTCCTGCTCGTCCAGGCGGCCGTTGTCCGGTTCCGCGGGCGCCTCCTCGGCGCGGCTCAGCTCGAGGAGGGCTCTGAGCACGCGCCGGTCGCGAGGCCAACGGGCGCCGGCGCCACCGCCCACCAGCTCCGGCATCAGGGTCTCCAAAGCGGACGGCTCTGTGTCGTAAACGAAACCGAAACATTGTATAATCGTGAATTAACTAGCTGATGCCCGCGACGGCGTCTGCACAGAATTAGCACTTCGAGTAGCGTATTTTCATCCAAAGGTCCTATCTATCTTCATACCAAAATCCATCAAAATTGGTTCCGAGGTTTAGTCGTGAAGGCGAAACGGACAGAATTAGTTTGTGAGACCCTTGTTTATATCATAATGATTCCAACTCACCCAAAACGTTTACTCATCTAAATAAAATAAAAAATAAGAAAACTTAAAAACACATGACTTACAAAGTATTCGAAAACCGTTATATCTCTCGTAAACTCTCACTCACACGGATTGAAAATATTTTCTACGGTGATACGATATTTTCTAATTAACTTTGTGTGATAAAATCAAACTGTTCCTCTAACGTTCGGAACGATCACGTCTTATTCGGAAGCGGACGTGTTGAACACTATTGACAAAACAATAATTTTACAATATTTCCCCATTTAACCACTAACCGGAAAAATGTGCCGTAACACTGCTACGCAAGGTCGCGAATGCTTTGACAGATCCGCATACCGAGCAGGATGCGATAAGGTAATTAAGGCTAACATACATAATCAGAATTAAAGGGAAATACATTAGGTCAGTTACATTTCAGCGATAAAATTGTGAATGGTTAACGAGCGATTAGTACAATTACGCTCCGTTATTATTTTTTATCTCTGAAAAGCTTTGTAAGCGATTGTTGTGCCTGGCATCGTATAAATGGACCAAATGTAAGACTTGCGATGTTACAAGAGGCCCATGGAACACTCAAACAATAGTAGTACAAAAAATTGTAATTACTTACGTTCCAAAATAAACTGTTTCATATTTGTATAAGGTGTACGAATGAATGAATGAGAAAGCCTAAACATATAAATAATTTTAATTGGACAACCCATTATCCTTTGGAAAACATGAAATGTAGAGGAGGAAGTTAGTCCTAATTAAATTTAATTATCTCGTCGGGTATGCCCTTGTCCATGAAATATGTAATTGTGTGTAAAATAACAACACGAAAAGCCACATTACTTAAGACATATTATTGATTTTCGACACATTACTGAAAGCACATTAATATCGACTTAGTTAGTCGATATTAATTTATAATATCGACTAACTAAGTCAATATTACAAATTAATATCGACTTAGTCGATATTAAGACTTTTTTTTAAATGTGGTTATTTAATATCGCCTTTATGGTGTTAATTAGTCATATCGCATTATCGATAACGCACCGAAAGTATTGTAATATCAACAAAAACATTGGCGCACGCAAATAATAGCAGAACATGCGAAATTACGTTCGAAAATAGTCCCAGTTAGGTTATGTGACATTAGACATATTAAAAATATCTTAAGTTATCTACAGTTTATGTTATCGCGGCTTATCATGATGTAAATTATATATTCGCCAAATGTGAATCCAATTAGGTAACCGTGATAATAGTAGATACCATGACATTATTTGATGTACACATATTATGTTGATTTATGCTTAAAGGAATATATAGGTGCGTGTTTTTAATAAAACTTATCTTTATACATGATTTTTGAGATTTTGTTGAAGCTCGAATCAAAGATCCCAGATTTATAAAATTTTGATTACTAAAAAGCGCACATCTTAGTTATAATTATCGTATTCTGTTTTTTTATTATATACGTTATTTTCATTTACGAACGGTTTAATTAAAAAACAATGGCGGTCTTACCGGATGTTGAGTCCCTGCCCTCCGATTCTGGATCCGCTTCTGGCATTTCCGGTTTAATTTCGTTGTTCTGAAACGAATGGATATCGTTAAGCTAATGGAAGCTGTTAATTTAATTTCTTATTATTTTTTTTCATATCGAATAAACTTTTTGACGTGAAAAGTTGAAATAAAAAAAAACAACAAACTTTCTTGCTCAACCTTGTCTGTCCCAATTCATATCAATGTAAGTGCTTTTGATCACTTGAAAGGCTCAGAAAGGATCAGAATAGAGGACTCTGGCGACTACAAATTATCATACTACGAGCATACCCGTACCGAACGGGAACGGTACGGTATAGTGAGCCATTAGGCAATGCAGCTTTACCTCCGAATCGATCCTCTCTATCTGTCGCACTGTTTCCGTCTCTCTCTTGAGAGCGGATTCCACGTCGCAGCCGGAGTCCAGAACCCAGAGCAGGATGAGGGTATGGAGGTCGAGCCCTTCTAGATCGCTGGAACGAAAACTTCAGATATTTAAAAAGAAAACGTATTAAAATTTATTAAATGAAAATTGTCTCATCGGATTTTGTCGCGTTTTGACTTTAAATTCACGATTCGAAACCTTTTAAGTATTCATGTTAAAGTTCGCAAAATAGTTTCATTCAACCATTTGTAATATTCGCTTAAAAACAAGAAACTAATACATCTGCATTAGTTTCTTGTTTTTACGCGAATATTATTGTTAAATAGTTAATAAAATTAATGTTAATTGTTAAAACACTCGGTAATATGTTTTTATTACCAAGTGTTTTAACAATTTAGCAGAATAAAAAAAACATTTGTATGTTAACACCATACACGACTTTCTTACCCCTGCTTGTTTTTCTTCTGCGCGTTCATGTGTTGTTCGAGATGCGTCATATGATAGACGTAGTTATGAATCTCCAATGCACTCAGTCTGTAAATAAAATGTTCAGTATATAAAATGTATTACAATGCCAACATCAGTTAAATATTTAAGTTAACGTCCCATACAGACAGTATTAGCTACATGTGTGAAAAACACACTCGTACATATACAATGACAATGTAGATGTATGGGTAAGAGAGCCCTCAAGAAACCTAGATAAGATTGTACTGTGATCAGGTTCTGAACTGTATTCGAAGTTTGGAAAAGTTAGTTTTATACTCCAGATAGACTGACAGACAGACACGTCAGTGAGTTTATTCAAAGGCGGTAAAAAGTTGGTGGTACACGGTCACCTGGATAATACGAAAGGGGAAAGGGTTACTGGTGGGTTTAACTTTAATCACCTCTTCGCGTCCAGGGTATAGTACATTGCGAGGGCGGCGGGTTAATTGCATGTGTTCTTGAATTTCGACGCATAATGCGGTCTTTCACTAAGGTACCAGCTAAGGCTTGGGCTCGATGATCGCCATGACGCATCTTTAAAGGGTCAGTGGTGGGGTTAATTGTAATCACCTCTTCGCGTCCAGGGTGTAGTACATCGCGAGGGCGGCGTGTCCGTCCGCGGGGCAGCACAAGTAGCGGCGGGTGCAGTGCTTCACGTCCAGCAGCCACTTGGCGAACGAGTGGTGGAAGATGGACAGGAAGCCGGTGGAGCGCTCCATGACCAGGATCCTGGCGGGGTAACACACTGTTGGTGAGCCCGTCGGGCACTGAGAGCTCATCAGGAGTATGATGAGTAAGATAACACCGTGGCGCAGTCGCCAGGGTATCGTCGGCTTCGGCGTCGGGGGTCGTGGCTTCGATTCCCACGCGGGACAACTATTTGTGCGACCCACAGATAGTTTCTTCGCATCTGGGTGTTTCTCCAAGTGAAATTTATGTTTGTAAAACGTCCTTACAACAAAGGATAGTGTTATCCTAAAGTAAGTGCAATGTTTTAAAAAAATAAAATTAAAAAAAAAATAAATATATTTTACAGCGAAAATGTCTGGTCCTACCACACCTATTTCGGACTGTATATTCTATATTGGTACGTAGTTCGTGTCCCGGTTTTGATAGGTTTATTTGACTTTCTTACCCAATATAAATCCAAACGAAACAGATAATAATTTTTTTGAGTGATTTATACAGCTGTATAAATTAAGATATAGATATTAGATAATAATTAATATATATTAGATTATTCAACAAGCGAGGATTTAGATGCTTTACTTAATTTAAAAGCATGCTGTGTTCAATATTTTAAGACAAAGATAGAAGAAAGTCTGATGTGAGAAACACTAAAAAAAACTCCTCCAAGTGGACACTTTCAGAGAACAATATTACAGTAAAGAAATGTGCACACAATTGCACATAATTTACCGATGTATTGCTATTGTGAGTAAAACATGAGAAGATAACAAGTCCATTTTTATCTACTTCAAATATCTCGCTCCGTATTCATTTTATAATTGATTTTTAGGAGTACCCTAAGCATCTCCGGAGCCCAAGATCCAATACCAATGAAATTATATGGGACCACGTAGTAAGCACAAGCTTACAAATAAAAAAAGAATCATCAAAACCGACCCACTCGGTCGATAGTTCTGAGGTAACAAACATAAAAAAAAATACAGTCGAATTGAAAACCTCCTTTGAATTCGGTTATAAAGACCTTCGTAGCAAGTGGAGTCGACGGTTGAAGTCCTCCCTGGTGACGCTGTACTCCTTGGTGAGGAGACATTTGTACAGCATCTCCTCGGTGACGCCGCAGCGGGCTGCCAGCAGCACGTCCAGCAGTAGACGGACCTGTTAATGCCAGCTGTTGCTTAGCGGTGACAATTTTGTCTGTGGTCTCGTTCGGAGAAGTACCGCGGCCTCGCATAGGTGGAGGTGCCACACTTTAGCGTTTCGTCTGCGTTTGCATTGTGTCCTTGACATTTCACTTTCAGTTGTCGTCTAAGTATATCGAATTATAAAAGATTTTTTTACGCGTAAAGTTGACGTGTTAAGTAATAACCGCCGTCAAGGACACGCTTGCAGATGCGTCCCCGGTAGTCTCATTTGCGAGACGAAACGCAAAAGTATGATACTTCCCCTTCACGCCATCTTCGAAGTATCCTTACTAATAATATATAATATTAATATTATAAACACGAAAGTTTGTATGTATGTTACTCGTTCACACAAAAACTACTGAATGAAACTATGAAATGAGGGATTTTAATGAAACTTTACAATAATATAGCTAATACATCAGAATAAGACATAGGCTATTTAATAATAAATAAATGTCTTATAATAATAAATAAATATATAATTAATAAACATACTATGTGAATTATCCAAAATATAACAATAAGTGTCAAGTAAGTAGGAAAAAAATCTGCCATCCGCAATCTATTCTGGCGTACACTAAAAAACTCATTGTTAATTCCCTTTGACCGCGCGGTCGAAGCCCCGTTTAACAGCTAGTCAGTTTATAAATCTCTTCCAGCCAAGGGTATTTTCCAATGGTCCATATGGAATAATCTATCGCCAACGCACCTTAGTGAACCGCCGTCCATGGAACAGCCTCTGCGCCAGCCAAAGGTACAAGCCGTTGAGTGTGCCCGGTATCTCTCTTATCTCCCGCAGCGCTATGAACCCGTCAGCGACGCCGTCCAGGACCTTGGCGATGAAAACATAACTAAATGGGAACAGCAACGTTGACTGAAGGTCCCCACAGAAATACCACTTATTACCCCATAAAATAATTATACAGTAGGTGAGAGCCGCGATAGCTTAGTGTCCGGGCGCTCGCCTTTAATTCAATACACTCGAGCAACCTGAGATCGATCCCCGATGGCGATACCAATGAAATTGTTAATTTTAACTGCTGACTTATCACGATGCTTCACCTCTGGGCACGTAATAATTTTATTGGTGGCAGCACCGGGATTACAACTCAGGTTGCTCGAGTATATTAACAAGACCGTGCAGACCACCCGGACACTGAGCTATCACGGCTATAAAATTAAAGTATAAATTTTGTAAACAACATTTATTTTACCTTCTCCAAGTACAGAAGACAGCCGTCGCTTTTAATTCTGAGATGGTCGAGCGCGGCTGCAGCGGCGGCCGCCGCAGTGGAATCGCTCGAGACACGCGCCCTGTGCCGAGGGAATTTGAACCTTACGGGTTTGTCATAAGGGATGCTAGAATAGGATTAACACAGTTATAATCCTTTGAACTGTGGGCCGGTCCGTCCGGGTTAGTACCACGACCTCACAGAAGACCTGCGTTAAGTGGAAGTATAATATTTACGCGTTTCGTCTGGTGAGTGAGGTAGCCAGTACCTAATAAAGTAAAAATTCAAAAGATTGTCAACGCATCTGCAACTCTCAACTTTACTACATAAACTGTGCAAATCGGCCGTCAGTGTAAATTCGATTGTACATTTACGAAACCATGTTTTAAAAAAAGATCGCTGATAAATAAACTACAATCCATAGGTTTTCTTCATAATTTTTTAACTTTATCGGATGTGGTTTGTAATGTTTCCGTTTTCTGTCGATAAAGATAAATTTTTAGAGATACATTTTTCGTAAAGTAATATTTCTGGCTCAAACTTAATTAATTACATGTGTTCTTGAATTTCGATAATGCGGTCTTGTACCTTAGCTTGGGCTCGGTGTCCAAACGCGCCAGGACGTATCTTTGCACGTCGGCCGACACGTGCGCCCTCTGCAACTCGTCTAATGTGATTTTCCTGAAGCCTGCAAAAGTAACAATAAAAAGCTGTGGTAAAAACTACTCAAGTGATTAGCAAATTATGATTGCCTGGAAGAGATCGCTGTGAAGCATTAAGGACCATTGTGCATTCCATAAATTTGTTTTTTTTATTATTAATTTTGTGTATCCTTTCATTTGTGGCCTGCAATAAAAGTATTCATTCATTTATTCATTCAAATTATAACAAGAAAAGAACTTCGCTTCGACTATTTAATAATTTTTATCCTTTCAAACGGAAACATTCTCTTAAAGAGGACAAATCCCCGAGCATAACGTAAAATATAAAAGTCTAGTGAGTCTAGTGAGGAACAGGTTTTTTTTTATGGAGAAAAGGGGCAAACGAGCAGGAGGCTCACCTGATGGTAAGTGATCACCGCCGCCCATGAACACCAGCAACACCCGAGGGCTTACAAATGCGTAGCCGGCCTTTTAGAAAAGAGTATGCTCTCTTCTTGAAGGTTCCCAGGTCGTAACGGTCCGGAAAGACCGCCGGCGGCAGCTGGTTCCACAGAGTGGTTGTGCGAGGCGGGAAATGCCTTGAAAATCGCGCTGTTGTGGAACGCTGGACATCGAGGTGGTGTGGATAAAGTTTGAGGTCCACTCACCGGTGAACATCTTGGTGAGACCCTTGCAGTGGCGGCGGGCGGTGCACACGAGGAGCAGCCAGTGCGGGAGCAGGTGCTGGTGGCGGGCCAGGAGCGCTGCCACGCCATCGGACACCTCGCCGGCGCAACCTTCCACATACGATTTTACCGTGGAACGGCGGCAAATTCTGTTGTTGCACACATCGGCAGGCACGTCTAGGGAAGTGCAGCTACCCCACAAAAGACCACCGTGAAGTGGAAGTAATATACTCTGGAGTGAGGTAACAGGGGTTAAAGGTTGACAATGCATCTAAGGCTGTTTCTTTTGTATGTATCATCTGCCTACAATATAGAATCACCTTTGTGGTGAACTTTAAGTTTGTCTTCTGTGCGTTTCATTATTCCGTGTTTTTAAATTCACGTGTCCCTGTGCACCGTGTGTGCTACACGTGCTTCCGTAAATCAATATGGTGACTAAATATCAAAAATATCTCGATTTCCCCCTCACTCACCGTTCAGGGATCCCTCGTCGATCGCGTCGACCAGGAGGAACAGGCACTGCTTGGGCGGGTCTATCTCCAGCAGCGGGAACAGCAGCGCCCTCTTGAAGCACTCGTCGGCGTTCTTCTCCAGGTTGTGGGGCAGCAGCGCCTGCTGGATCTCCGGCTCGGACAGCAACTTGTCGTAGTACGCGTTGGCTATCAATGTTCTTGGGCTGACGGGCAGGCTCGGTATCGGCGGCGGCACGTCCTCCCCCTCCGACCGCTTCCCCACTCTCTCCGCCCTCTCCGCCTCCGTCTGGGCGAGAATGTTCGAGAACGGATATTATAACGGATACAAAAGTGCAAAAACGCTCGCCGTCCAGAGGTACACAATCAAATATCTTTAGTGTAGCAGCATTACACTCACTTATTGATTGTCAAAATACTACTATTGGTTCCAAAGCTGAGAAGAACCGGCGAAAGAAACTTAGCGAGACACTTTTTTTTACCAATTATTTGACAAAAAATATTTTGACTGTATGTTGTGTGTACAGTCCACTTGAAAGAGTCCGGAGCGATCAACTCATTTCCAGTGTGTCTTATAAATATTATGACAACCTTTAACACACATTAATTTACAGATATTAAAGCACTCATTCGCATCTCCCATACATACTCATACATGCCATCTACTCATACAACCATCTATGGTATATCACGCAGATTTTTCGCAAGCAAAAAAAACTTAAATGCGCCTCAAATATTCGTACAAATTATTGTGCGATATACGTTATCGTATGGGCATAAGACATTTTACACATGTTACGTTTAATTTTTAAATTTAAAAATCAAGAACGAGATAATAAACTTAAAAGTTAAATAAAAGAAAAATAACTTATAAATAACAACACAGAAAACATCCTATTATTAATATAAATGAATTGTGTGTGACATGATGTAGCGACAGACGGGTGCTGGCGTAGTAGGATGCATAAAACGACACACATAGATAAATAAATACCCGCTCGTCCGCCGACCCTTCTCTAGGCTCGGGCTTCAGCACGTTCTGGTACTCCGGCGGCTCGGCGTCATCTTCCTCACGCGGCGTCGCCGGCCGCTCGCGCCTGTCGTCGCGATTCTTCAGAGGCGAGCCCTCGTTGGAGTTCGGCCTCAGCTCGCTCTTGTTCGGGTAGCGGAAGCTGGCGACCGGTATGCGGGACTTGGGCGGGCTGCTCTCCGGCTTGGCTGCGTCGTTCCTCTGATCAGCGGCCTTGCTGTCTATTCGCTGCTCTGCGGACGTATTGGAGCTCTCGCTTCGCTGCTCTGTGGACGCGTTGGGGCACTCGCTTCGCTGCTCTGCGGGCGCCGCCTTGCTGCTCTCGCTTCGCTGCTCTGCGGTCGGGCTTGGGCATTTCTCGTTCCTCTGCTCCGTTGAGAGGCTCTTCTGCAGCTGGGCCGGCCTCCTTTCCGTGAGCGGCTCGGAGCTCTGGCGCAGCAGCCTCGGGCCCCTCGCCTCCCTGGAGTGCCGCTGCGACATGTTCCTCAGGAACAGGTTCTCATGGTTCTCGTACAGACGGAAGTCCGGATGGCTCGCGTCCTGCGCGAACGGGTTGGACGGCTTCGCGTGCGACCTCGGCAAGATCTCCGGCAGCTGGGGGCAGGGGTATTTTTATATCAATTGAAGAAGAAGAAACGTTTATTCGCGGTCTAAAAACAAATGAATACATACAAAACTTAAAAATGATAACGTAACTACACGAACGAAACTTAAAATAAATGTAATGTAAAAATGATGTAATTGCATAGGAATTATGCCCGAATCGATTCAAAAACGTGACAATAAGCCCTTGAAAATCGATTCGTTCACTGTCCATTGACTGTGGAGATTTAAATTAAAAATTTGTTTTATTCAAGCCGTCGTAGGGCTAAGTAACAGTTCGGTGTTTAGTACAGTTCATTCAGGACCACGACTTCGCAAGAGACCGGCGTGATGTGGAAGTGGTTATACTTCTGCGTTTCGCCTGGCGAGCGAGGTGGCCGGGACCCAACTTTATTAAAAGATGGCAAAGTATCTGCAACCCTACGGGTGGCTGTAACTTAACATCATATGAACCGCCAGCTCGTTTGCCTCCTCCACAAATGAAAAAAAAAATTTAATCCAATTCGCAATTGTAGCTCCCCTCTAGTTAGTTCTCGTTAAGAAATCACGCGGAGGCAATAGCGAATTAGGCTTTTACTGAGCTATTGATTGACCATCGTGAGAAAATAAAAACATAATGCTCACATCGTTGGCGGCGCTTAGGGCGGCGTCGCCGGGCATCGAATCCGTGTACGTTTCGCGCTCGTGGATCCGGTCTATGGTCCGCATACGCCTGCCGCCAGCGCACTCCTCCTCGTCCGTCCGCTGCTCCGCTGCGGGTAGACGAACATATATTGCGTAAATATTGTTGTTATCCAGTAGAAATTATCTTAAGAAACCCACCACATTTTTTTTTTGAAGTGAAACTTCTAATGCGACCTCCAACAAAGTTGCGTTAAACGTTTAACGCTACCACGGAGGGTGTATGAAAGCACTGATGCGTTAAATGTTCAACGCTCTTCGGGAGGGGGAACAGAAAGAGACAGAGCGAGAGTGAATGCGTGGCACTCGAAGCGTCACCTTCGCTGTCAGCGAGAAGCGGCTTGGAACTCTCTTCGCCGTCGTCAAAAAAGGGCCTGCCCATTCGTGCAACAGCCGAGGCTGCTGCGTGGCCCTACCACCGTAGTTGTGTGTGTGTATGTGTGCGTATTTCTAATTGTAGGACCCATCGGACATGAAGAAGTATAGCGTCTAACAATTTTATTCGTCGATTTTCACATATCAGGTGTTTATATTGTAAGCATATTAAAAAAAAAACACGAGCATATACCAACATATTACATTTTGTGCATTATGCGCACGCACGTATGTACGTGTGCGTGCGTTCGCACGCATGCAAAGTACGAATTAAGCATTGCATTGATGTCAAAACTTTCGCACCGTGAGTTCATCGGCCGCTTAGCTTAATGAAGCGTCTTGGCATGTAAACGCGCGTCGAATCCCGCGGCACCGAAGGGTTTTGTTCTTCTTCTTCTTCTTTGATTAATGGCCTCTAAGGGCTTTGTTTTTCTTTTCACCTGATGCTAAGTGATAACCGCCGCCCATGGGCATTTGCAACACCCGAAACGACGAAACGCAGAAGTATAACACTTCTGCTTTACGTCGGTCTTCTGTGAGGTCGTGTTACGCCCCCGAACGGACCCGCCCATTCGTGCAGCAGTGAACACCGTCGCGTGGCCCGTACCAAAGTGAAATTCGTTTTAACTAGAAAAAAAAAATCACGATTTATCGTACGAATCGCTACGAGTACCTGTTGTCGGGTGGAGAATGGTCCGCGTCGGCGTCGGCGTCGGCGCGGGGCCGTCGCGACGAGTGGCTCAGGATCTGCATCGCGAGCGAGCGGACGAACTCGCCGGGACGGAGGCTGTTCTCGTTGTCGCCCTGGAAGCGGAAGGTGGAACTGAGCGTCTGAATTGATCACTCCGTGGCGCAGTGGCTGGCTTCGGCAGTGGGCTGTGGGTTCGACTCCCGCAGAAAAAAAGGGAGCCACGGATTGATTCGGTGAGTTTGTGTCGTGTCACCCACAGACTCCCGCATGAGAAAACTGTTTGTGTGACCCACTGCTAAGTGGGTGTGTTTCAACGTGAAATTTTTGTATGTGAAACGTCCCTACAACAACACAGGATAATGTTACCCAACGAAAGGGAAGACTACAATAGACCTTCTGGGTAGATGCGGCTCACTACCCAACCTCCTTCTACACAAAATTCAAGTATCCGAACGTCCATGTTTCGTATATATTATATATATATTATACCTTCATTGCCGTATAATCTAATTAAAAAAACGCAATAAATCCCTAAAATTTGTTTCATTTGTTATGTGTAATCGCTTAATACAAAAAATTATCAAACGTCAAGCGATAATCTTTTATAAATTGACTTTTCATGTTGTCACTCCTAAAATAAAAATTGTTTCTTATATACTGAGCGATGTTGATATATTTTACCTGCAGAAAGTATCGTGCTAGCAACCGCCTGTTTAGAGCCCTTTGCTGTCTCGCCTGCGGGCCCTGCCCTGGCTGACTGAGCTCTTGGCAGAGAGCAGTTTTTCCACTACCCGCATCACCTGAGAAACAGGATTAAATCAAATAGTCAATTTAGCCATAGGCTTGCCTTATTTCAGGATTAACTAATAGCTTCAATCAATTAAAACTTTTCAAGGTCACGGGTTCTGATCTGATAATGAGGAGCGTCATTAGATCGAGATCCTACCTAGATTTTGTTTATATCTAAATATATTACTTGAAATATAATAATTTTTTACTATGACCTTTGGGTTGACAAATTAATTATTATAAGACCGTCTTATTGCAGTTTCTTGTGAATTTGAAATTACAATAAAAAATATCAAGTCAAATTAGCACAAGATACGGCAGGCGCAACCCTGTAGGAATACATCGTATAGCTAGAAAATTGGTCTTCGATCTCGTGTTCCTAAAGAATGGGAACCCTAGTCCACTAAAGTTAACCCCATAAGTTAACAAGAAGACAGCATAAGAAGGAAGGAAGCCATGAGAAATGCAAAGGGGGCACTATTGCGTTCCTTTTAATTAATGACATTCCAATCACTCGAACTAAATGTTATTCTATGTCCTTCATTGGAGCAATTTGCCGGCATCTGTCTATTCGTCCCTGTAAGTAAACGAAGAAGGTCGCCAACCTAGTATGAGCGCCCCGCACGTCTTGCTCACTGGCCGCTGCTCCAGACAGTGAGCGATCTTCTGGAAGGCCCACTCCCTGCAGAAGAAGCGTCGCTTGTCCGTGGTTATAGCTGGCTCCGTCACCTTCTGGCCGGAGGAGGACTTGCGGACTGGCCGTGCGGAGTCCCTCTCTATCGCCCGCGAGGCGATAGGGCTCAAAGGTGATCCCGTTCCTGAGAATGGAGATTAATTTATTTATTTATAATTTATTATCGACCCGCCCCGGCTTCGCACGGGTGCAATGTATTATAAATATAAACCTTGTGTTCGGAGTTACGCAACCGAACAGCAACATTGTCACTTTGTGCTTCATAGGCACATTACACTAACGTACATATGTACGTTTGATGCCTAATTTGAAGCAGTACGCGACTCGCCACCGTCTAACCATAACCATACCATTTATTTATACCGCGTATTCTTTATACCAGTTTATACCATTCACCATTTATACCATAATAAACCATTTACCAGAATATTTATAAACTCTATCCCTGTACAACCTTCTTCATGGTCCTTCGAGCCGGATCGCACCAGTGTATAGTGTACCAACGCGAAAGCAGAGTATGCCTGACCCGCGTCAGTCAAGTGCAAGTGAAGTGTGTGATACAAACAATATTAGTATTCGTATGCAAAATTTGGCCATGCGATGGCCCAGTGCTAGGTGCAGTGCAAACAATCCTAGATACATAAATAAGGCTACATCGCCTATTACCAGAGACAATCCTGCTTTTACCATAGAGGACACTATAGTTTAATTATACGTTTTTAAGAGAATTTATTTGTATTTTTTAAGTTTGTGCTTTTTATTATTTTTATTGATTTAGTGCTTAAGGTTAATGACGATTGTGCTTTGAAACCTTTGCTTTATAAGAATTTTACTGTTTTATAAGTTCTTCTCACTTCACATTTTCATCTCGTAGTCGGGAGAATGTTCGGAGTTACGCAACCGAACAGCAACATTGTCACTTTGTGCTTCATAGGCACATTACACTAACGTACATATGTACGTTTGATGCCTAATTTGAAGCAGTACGCGACTCGCCACCGTCTAACCCTAACCATACCATTTATTTATACCGCGTATTCTTTATACCAGTTTATACCATTCACCATTTATACCATAATAAACCATTTACCAGAATATTTATAAACTCTATCCCTGTACAACCTTCTTCACCTTGCTTTTGACTCACTCTATCTAGTAAAAACCGCATCAAGATCCGTTGCGTAGTTCTAAACATCTAAGCATACATAGGGCAGACTGACAGCGGGACGACATTGTTTTATACTATGTAGTGATTGTACACCATACCATACCAAAATATAATTGCAAATTATAAATGAATCTAAAAGGAAGTACAATAGGCGGTGTTATCGCCTTGAAAGCGATTTCTTTCAGACAACCATTGCGAAAAGAATTTTTGCTAAAGAAACAAAAAGAAGAGAGCAGAGGGAGGTCTACATGAAACACTAATAAACACAGGGTGAAGGCATACATCAGATTCTAAGTTTCGGGAAAAATAGAAAAAAAGAAAGAGGAAAATATGAATTCTCAGTTCCAAGTAAGAAAAGCTTTTACTAGGTTTTAAAAAGAAGAAGGTGAGAGATAGTAGAAAGAACCGTGCGAAATTGAACCTTTTGTATCCGAAGCGAGTGATCTCTTTTGAGTTTAATCAACTCTTTCGTCTGCCTTTCGTCAAATGACACTGATGAAATTGAGGGTATGCGTTGGAGAACTATGCATTGGTAAACAAATTAAGGTTACAGCGAGCAGCCGTAATGATATTCCCATATCGGCTATTACTTACGGATGTAGTCATGGCCCATATTTTGGAGTGATTACCGCGTGTAGCATTAGAATAAACATTATATTCCTCCGCAAAAACTGTGGAGATGACACGACACTCATTTAAATAAAAGCTAAAGTCATTGTATGCAAAAGCATGCAATTCTCTTTGGTTCGCAACAGTGCATCGCAACAATGAACCAGCTCTATTGTTCGTACGAGCTTTGTTCTAGAAAAAGCGGTAAACCTTAAAGTTTCCGCCTTAAGCTACCGCCGCTAGTGAGGCTTGATAGTGGCGAAAGCGGTACAGTCGCGAACGGCAATTGTTGCAGACATCCTTTTTTAAAGGGCAATTGTCACAAGTGTATGCATTTAGACAATTTTCGCTATAGATGACATATTTACTAAATGAATTTTGGTGGAGATTATGAATATGAATGGAAATTATACCCGTAGTCAATCGGAGTATTATTGTGCATATGAAACTTTTAAACCGTTATCATATTTAATGCTCGATCCCATTTCAAGAGAGAATCATTTAAATTTGGTTGGAATTTGAATGGAATTCCTATCTGAAATATCCAATAACCCAACATTCACATTGATATTGTAAATTTACATTGACAGTAACTTTTTCATTTCGTCGAACCACCAGGCTTTAATAAAATGGCGATGACTATGTCGATGAAATTTCGTAACAGCACCGAGTATTGTTCAATGAAATCAAATAGAGTGCTTTGAATGAAGCTCACCTTCGAATTCGAAGTTGTTGTCCCTCTCTCTATCCCTGTCCCTTTCTCTCTCGCGCCGATACTCCCTGGAGCCTTCGCGTTCCCTCTCGGGGAATGCCCGGTGCCGATCGGTCGGCGTTCGGTCGTGGCCACGAGGCGGTTGCCACCTCGTTCAATGGAAGGGACCTGTGATTAAACAGACAGTTAGTTGTCTTTCACTACACCTGCCACTTTATTTTTTTATGTTATACAGCGTGTCGTTACCATCGCGACAATACATGAACACATGTCTAACGCTACTTGCCAATAATCATAAAAAAATATTAACGTTAAACAAAATCCATAATTAAAAAAAATATTTTTCAAACAAACTAATTAAGTAAAAAAGCAACAAAATTTGTAACATCTCAATAAAACACAAAATAACTCGCGCCACAGCGTACAAGCCTCTCCTTCTAACAGTATATTTTATCTCTTTTAAATTCATTCAACCCATTCATATGGTTTGTGACCTTTACAAATGAACTTTACGTTACAGTTTTATACGTAAGGGTGTTCTAAAATTCTTTGTATTGGAAAATTTAACAACTATGTAAATATTGATGTTTAAAGAATGTAAATGTTTCATACAATTTTAAAAAGTTATCACCTATATGTGTTCATTTATTGTCGCGATTGTAAAGACACGCTGTATACTTTCACTTTTATCTCGTAGACTATATAAAGCTTCTTCGGGCACAGTCTTAGTTGTGGTAAAAATTCGACAGCTTAATAATGTGTTTTGTTCATTGAGTGAACACAATTTTTTTGTATTATTATTTGTTTTCTATCATTCTTTATATCAATCATAATTTGCTTTTAGTTTTTTTTATAAATTAATTTTCAGAATAAACCGAGCACTGCTCAATCCGATGATAAGTTACTACTTTAAAGAAACGCTATATTTACACATATATGTTGTATATATAGAGATTATAGACCTTTAAGCCAAACTTACAACATTTGTCCGTAGTTATAAGCAGTTGAGTACTCAATATATTAAGGAAATTTGAAGCAAAATTCGACCATTTTATTATTATACACGGCCGAAAGAGTATACTACTTTATTTCTGCCATTACTCAAATATAAAAAGGCGACATAAGAAAGAGGAAGCTATAATTCACCTAAGGTTCACTCTGTGCTCCGCCTGCCTCACCGCCGAGTGCCTGTGCTGTTGCTGTCTCATGCTGATCTGGTTCTGCCTCAAATACGCCTCGACCTTTCCCTCGCACGCTTCGTTCTTCCTCCTCGAGCGGCTGTTCTCCTCTTTGCGGCGGGACTCCCTCTTCTCCGCCCTCTCCGGCTTCTCCAGTTTCTCCATTCTGCTCTCGAGCGGTGCGTTCAGCAGCTGCACGTTGCCGCCGTGGTTGAAGTTCAGCGGATCGAAATCCACTCGCGCCTGGTTCGTACCGCGCGTCTCTCGCGAGGCGACACCTTTCGAGTTCCTACCCCGGTACTGAGACTTCGGCACCACTTGACTATAGATCGGCATCTGATTCGACATCTTAGACTAGCTTTGGTTATGAAAAATATACAGTTTAATTATTTCTTTCTACTATTACTAAATCTCTATACGATTTGTTTGCTTTTCATTTTTCCTTTAGTTCAATAATGGCTTTGGTCTTGCTAAACGACGCTAAAACTAGAGGAACCCGGGTCTAACGATTAAAAAAATGTAGTAATTATTTTAAACGTAGCCCTAGCTGTTGTGTATCACATTTAGTGCGAGGTTCTTGGGAGATTCGAGTCATTCTATGAGCGACGAGGCGCGCCCCTTTTTAAGGTGCTTTGATGTCAATTTCGGACTCCGTTGACGCATCATGTGTTTAGTGAAGACTGTGCTACCTGTAACAAAAAACATTATATTTTTATATTCACACATAAGCATACACACTGACGGTGTTTCTATGGACATTAAATAGTATTTATTTAATAAACGCCAATAAATAACGAAATTTCAGGACATATATTTTCACCACGATATCTAGTCCCAAACTAGGCAAAGGTTGTACCTACTGTGGATACTAGGTAACTAATAAACATACTTTTCTTTTGTAAATAAATACATATAGATATATAAACACTAGGACACTAGAAAAACACATATGAACATATCAACACACAATATTTTTCCAGTAGTGGGGATCGAACCCATAACCACTGACGAGACAGGTCCACTATCCACTTCGCTAATCGGTTTAAATTTAATTAAAAAATCTAACATATACTACTATAACATGTATACACAAATATAGATTGATTAAAACGACAAATTTCGATATCTGCTACATAAGTAACACTAGCTGCTGCCCGTGACAACGTCTGCGTAGAATAGGCTGAAGGCGTCACATTCAGACGGAAAGACAGATATACAGCGTGTCGTTACCACCGCAACAATAAATAATCACACGTCTAACGCTCCTTGCAAATAATCATAAAAAAATATTAACGTTAAAAAATATCCATAATTAAAAAAAATATTTTTCAAACAAACTAATTAAGTAAAAAGAAACAAAATTTGCAACATCCTGTACAACTACAACTGACTGATTCATACATTCACAGACTTTTACATTCGTTGCCACAGCGTCGCATTGCAAGCCTCTCCTTCTAACAGTATGTTTTGTCTCTTTTAAATTCATTCAACCCATTCATATGTTTTGTGACCTTTACAATTAAACTTTACATTACAGTTTTATACGTAAGGATGTTCTAAAATTCTTTGTCTTGGAAAATTTATTAACTCGGTAAATATTGATGTTTAAAGAATGTAAATGTTTAATACAATTTTAAAAAGTTATCCTGTATATGTGTGTTCATTTATTGTCGCGGCTGTAAAGACACGCTGTATATAAAAATATATATATATATATAAATTATAGCCTATGTCTTATTCTAGTGTACAAGCTATATTATTGTTAATTTTCATCAAAATCCATTCAGTAGTATTTGCGTGAAAGAGTAACAAACATCCATCCATATATACAAACTTTCGCGTTTATAATATTAGTAAGGATTACATTGTTTAGGAAGTTGCAGAACATAGTCCTTGTTTAATAAACTTGATAAAAATTTCCAATCAACGACTTTCCTCAAGACAACTAATACTGATAGCGCAAGTACCTACTTCTAATACAACTCAATTCTCTGCAAATGAGAAAAAGTATTTCTTTTATACTTCACCAACAAGATACACATCAAAACAAGCTTAAAACATAAATAAGTACATAGTATCTTAAACTAAATGGTATCTCAATTACAGGTGAAACGACATTCAAAAGTTATTATATTGACAACTTTAAATTAAAATATGTAGAAAAAGTGCGAAAAGATTGTCGCCGCTGTGGTAATCGAACCCACGTCTTCGGCATTCGCGGCCTGACGCTCTAGCCACTGAGCTAAACGGTTGACTGCCACACCGACGAAAACCTTAACGCATTCTTCTACATTGTTTTCTTAGCATTTGAAGCAATGCTTGGCGCCATCTATTGATAAAAAAAAATATTTTTTTTTTTTAATTCAAAACTGGCTAGCACTTGACTGCCATCCCACCTGATGGTAAGTGGCGATGTAGCCGTTGAAGGTAAGCGCGCTAGCTCAGTAGAAAGAAAAAAAAAAAGAAAATTGAAGTGTGTTAAATACTAACAAAGAATTAATACAGTAGTTGACTTTACACTAAAATAAAAATATAACCAAAACAACGGAAATAAAATTTTAATACTTTTATGGAAATAAAAACATTTCAATTTATAACCTGTGCATACCATTGATTTATAGTACTAGTGTGTAATTACGTATGTAATAAGCTGTGTGCATAATACTGACAGTGTCATTAATTATCAAGGATGCTATAAGATGGCTGTTTTAGAAAATCCCGACCTAAATCTATGTGACGTCGGAGGCGGTGAAAAAAAGCAACACGCCTGCATACTCGTGTCATCAAGAACGCCGCTTGAATATTCAGATAGGGGATCTTTGAAAGCTTCATGTCCCCGACACGTTCCTTAGGGCGCTCCTTTTTAGCGTCAGCCATTAAGTTGCATTCAGGTCTGGTGGAAAGTCGCAAGTTGAGCTATTTCATAACGAGCTGGCTCTCGAGCGCGGAGTAAACTAGACCACTGGGTAGTCTTATTTCATTTGTTATTTAATTTATTATATATCATATATTTTATAACTGTATAATGTGTAAATTTATAAGGGCGACTTATACATACTGTCCGCCAAAAATACATGTCCAGTACATGCTTCCCTAAATCATAATTTAATATTATTTATAAATTATAAAACAAAATACAAAACTTATTTATATTACCTAAATATAAAAGTAAAAATAATAAGAAAAATAAAAAGACAGTGTAAAGATTGAAAAAAAAAAATTACTTGGAAAAACCAGCGGGAGTTTCTTTTAATGAGAAACGGAGATCATTTTCTTAATAACTGTAGTTTTAAAATAATGTTTAGGTAATTTCTGTAATATATTACACTTTTGAAAGGAACTTTTATCGTACAAAATAATTTCATTAAGGAGATTTTAAGCCTCATACGATTTCTTAACCTCTTCAAAACAAAACACATAAAAACATATGCAATACAGATGTGATTAGACGCTGTGAATAAATGTATTGCCTAATTTATCTATGTTCGTTTCAAACCTTAAATGAAGATATTTTCATAGTTATTAAAATATACAATCATTAACTGAACAGATCAATCTGTTTTTACCTTGACTACGGTCTTTGTAAAGTGGAACGTTGCGATTTAAAAACTACCTTGTAACAATATCAACACTATTCTTAGTTTTCCGGGATCATCTCTAACTACTTTAGACTTTGAAATAGCTAACGTCACGTAAGTTGATTATTATTAATAGTGTATGCGTTGAAATACTGGAATTTACACTCAACGTAGCAAACGCTACTTGAAAGTGTTAAAAAATCATAACATAAATACAAGGACAAAACAGTTCGGCAGACAAAAAGAAAACTGTGAAATACGCTTCCGAGAAATGTGGCCGGTTAACTTTCCGGGATACGTCAAAATTTCCAAGTGTTCTGAAAAAAACCGAACATTTTGCATAATATTTTAAGATGAAGAAAACCCTTTACAATCCTCGGCTCTGCCGGGTTCTTTCTTCCTGAACTTTGTTCGATAATAAGTTCGCGTGGCGGGACCCCGAGTTGCCGAACTTACTTATTTTTTGTGGACCAACTTTGTGCGAGTGACAAAAAATATTTATTGAGAATGGAGCTCGCGGTTTGAGTTTTAGACAAAGCGAAATAAGAATAAAGCCTGCTGGGTGTTTACATAATTATATAGTACCTGCAGGACCTAGCTTTGCTCGGTTTTTTTTTTTTTTTTTTTTTTTTTTTGGTAAATCATGTATTTTGGAAATTACATTTAGATACAAATTACTGAGTAATGAAATATGCATAATATTTTTCGATCTTACCGACGTAATAATAAGAAAATATGTAAAGTTTAAAAAAAAGGGAAAAAGTAACAAAATCATCTGGATCGACAAAAAATAAAAAATTAAGAAAGCAATGATCTGAAATCGGAAAAAAAAGTAAAACAATAAGTGTGTTAAATGATCGTGACACGAACCACGGCCTTCTGTTGGGGGCCGCTCGATTACCGACCGAGCTATTATAACATTTTTTTCGGCGAAATTTACCGTCATATTCGAATGATTTTTTTCATTCCCCGAAAACAGGGATAAAAGGTAATTTTTTAAAAATTAAACCTAGCTAGATCGATTTTTCGCCCCCGAATCTACGCACACTAAATTTCAATATGTGTTTATTTCGAAAAAATAAATATTTAATGTTTGTCATCATTCTGATAACCATAGTAGGCGCTTCGGTCACGTTGAGATAAGATTGTGTTTAAATATGTCCTGATCTTTATACTTCTCAATATACAAACTCTTCTGAACGTGTGTGTGACAGCACTTCTCCTAAACGGTGGAAAGGACGTCTGTCGGGGTCCGCTAGTAGATTTTAATATTTTAAACATAAATCACGATTAACACACTCGAATCTTGGCCTGCGTTCGATCTGCTTCTTTGGACGTTAAATTTGCTCCTAACAAAAACACAATTGCGTATTTACGTATGTTATTGGCAATAAACGCTGCTCTGTGCGTCTGTTGAGAGCATGATGAAATCGACGCTGCCAAAATTATCCGGGGTAACATTTAAAGAGTGTATAATTCGAAACCTCTAAAATAACTTTTATCTCTACGGTACAAAAAAAGAATTGTAAATGCATAGTGTTACGAGCTGCAGCTTGTGATGTAGAATGTTCCAGAATTAATGTCTTTGAAAAACCGAATTTCGATCTTCACCATTACTATTCAAGATATCGTTACGAAGAGCCAACTACGATCACTGATACGGCAATTTTGAAAAAGAAATCGAGCATCGCGCTGTGATAAAATTGCTTACAAACCAAGGAGAGACTCAAAAAGTTATCACCGAAGAAATGTTGGCTGTTCACCAAGATT